AGTTGGGGGGAAGGATCCTTCCCTTTATTTTTTTTTCTCTGAAAGTCACCAATGTCTGTATAGTCACACTTCTTATTCTAGATCCTGCTTGGTCTTTCTGGGTGAATGGAAAAATACTTCTTTAAAAAAATAAAAAAAATAAAAATCAGGATTTAGAACTCTTTTGGTCAGCTGAAAACATCCCTCCAGCAGTCTTCTGTGGATGTGCTTGGTTTTCTGTAACACACTTTAAAGCTCGTACTTTCTCTTTCATTTGAAAAAAATGTGTAGGTCATTAACTTTACTAGAAGCTGTTGGAATAGGTTTAATGTTTAACCTCTTGGTATTTCTTTTAATATTTAACTTTTTCTTGCTGCACTAGAATAGGTGATCTCTTTACAGTTGGCAGTTGGTTTTACTCATATAAAGCCACTCTGCGTCTCTCTTTTTTTTCCTCCATACCATTGCTTTCAGGGCTTTTTGGCTGAAAGTAGTAATGGCTTCAGTTAGGTGACAATTTTGTGGGGTGTTGTTTGGTTGGTTGGTTTTGGTTTTATCAAATTTTATAAAATTTGGATTTTTCTTTTCACCCTCTATTATAAGAGGATGTTATGTGCCAGCTCAGACACCAAAACCATCTTACTTAATGGAGGCAATTCCTAAGCAGAAGGACTTAAGCTAGAGGTAGAAAAATGGTTTTATATTGTTAACTATCTTGGAGGAACACATCATCCTCTGGCTTTGGCTTTCCTTCGTCTTTTCTGTCAGGACGCTCGACAGTTCTTTTTCGTGCTCCTGGTATTCGGCAACAGAAAGCAGTTGCACTGGGTGATGATCCTTTTTATTTATTTTGGCAAGTGATTTATTCTGGGAGTTCACTGCTGGAGTATGACTGGAAGTTAGTGGGAAGAGTCCCTGTGCTCTGGTTTTGATTAACTGCCTTCCAGCTGAGCACCACCTCTTAATTTTCCTGACTTCTGTAAAGCCCCCTCTGCTTAGGCGCTGCGTACTGCTTTTGGAGATGAGCTGAATCAGAAATTCCCATGGAAATAGGCAAGTCTCCGCAGCTCTCCCTGTCTCGGTGGAAATACCTGATATGCTGGAGGAGCTCGTTGCTGAGGGTGGTCAGAGTGAAGGGACGCCGGGGACTGAGCCTGGAGCTGAGCTTGCGTGGTTGCGTGTTATTGCCCTGCTGACGGCACTGAGCACCTACCTCGTCCCCTCTCCAAGTCTGCCAAATGGGAATTAGGCTTGTGATTAATTGGCTTACAAAGTGCTGTTACATATTGCCCTCGTTCCTGCTAAATACAAACTTTCCAAGCTTCATTGTCAGCGAGGCTTCATCCTGCAGGTGCCTGCCAGAAGCTCAATATAAGGTCAATGCCTTTTTTCCCCAGTAAAAATGTGACTTAATTGGCATTTTTCTAATAGCATCATGTGTTTAATATCTCTATGGCTTGGAAGGTCCTGTACATATATTTTCCTGTCCCTGTGGAAGATGCTTGCGTTGAAAAGGGGAGTTGCATAACACGTTTTTGAGCAGTGATTATTTTTTTTATCAGTTCTGAAGATACTGCAAACTACAGTCTCCTGGGGAAGCATGTTGTGTTATCTCTTGATGCTGGTACACCTCAAGAGGAGGGGAAAAAAAAAAAAGTTCAGTAAATTGCTTGCAGTTATATTGGCAGATTTTCATGTTAGGCAGGTAGTGCTTTATAGTGCCTTCACAAAGAGTAAAATGTCCACTGCGATTCCCATTGAAAATGCTGCTGCTCAGTGAGGGTGGGGATGGCACCGTCAGCATCCCAGGGAAGTACGGCTGTAGTTCTCATGGCTTTTGGTGGCAGGGGCGTAACCCCGGCTGTGGAAAATGCACCTTAGGGCTAAGGATTGTAGGTGCTGTGCTCCAGGCCTGGATTGGATCAGAAGATCAAAGTACAGCTGGCATGCCTGCGTCTGGCAACCTGTTGGATCATGACTAGCCCTTAGGCTCCTGGTACCTTTGATTTATACTGCTGATAGAAATGTTAACTGTTTCTGAGTTTCCCAATCCTATACCTCCATTCATGGTTTTGTAATATCGCTGTTGTTGACAGGAGCAGTAACTGAATACCGTGGGAATGCTTATAGCATGGGGAGATGTAATCAATAATGGGTTTTTTCCAAGTTTGATGAATTGTTTTTCTTGGATATTTCATTGACAAACCAATATTTACTTATTTTTTTGAAACCACGCTTACCTAACGAGTGTTATCCCTGTTGGAAGATAGCTGAGCACGGCTTATTGGTACCAATATCGAACGCTATGCCAAGCCTGCGTACTTCTGCATTTGCACAACCGTCTGCTGTGGCTTGGAACCTGCGAGTGTTACAGGCGGGAGCCAGGTGGGATGGGGAGCGGGGCTGGGTGCTGGCACGTCCTTCGAACTGGAGCTCCTGGGAGCGCAGCTGACCTCTGTGGGGTGCTGCGGTTTTCTAGAAAGCCTCCAGTGAAAGCAAAGGCCTGAACTAAAAAGGCAATTTAATAGCTTAAGCTCTCTGGCAGGTCAGGCCTTCGTGCTGGGAGGTAAGCTGTTTTTCATGTAGTAAGAATGCTTTTTCCAACTTTATTGGGGAGTGAATAGGATTGCTGTTTAGTTCGATTTAACTACTACTGTTTGCCAAGGAGATGTTTTAGGGTGATCTCCAACACCCTAACTGAAGCAGCTTAGAAACCAATTTGATCTCTCCTGATGTCAATGACAATGGTGCAGTTTAGCGAAGATCTCATATGCTACTGGTAATATCTGCAGCAAGTCATTTCCTCCTGCTTCCCCTGAAGTGTTATTTCTGTAAAATTGAGCTTTGTGCCTAGAAACAGTGAAGCCGCCAAGTACTTCCCAGAATGCTCCGTCAGCCTGTGAATGCGGTGGTGGTTGTGCGGAGATCTCAATAAATTCTCTGTGTTTCAGTTCCTCGCTACTTGCCCACGGATACCATAAGGTTTTGCTGTGCATCTTTGTGCTGTGGGCTTTGTCCTGGGAAAGAAAAAAAAAAAAACACCTCACACCAAAAAAAGCACATCTGCTCAAATGAACGTTTTTGTGCATTTTTATGTGTGTGTACACGCACTACTGCTGGTGATAATTTGAAATTGGTAGAGTTTTCTAATTGATGGTTGGTAGTCTTCTAGGCAGTGGCGAACACTTTTTGAAGGCAAGTGTGGAGCAGGCTTCAAATCCAGTAAGAAAACTTTTCACATGAGAAACTTGATTTAAATAGTCAACGTACCTTGTGGTGATTTTTCCAACTTTACTTGGGCTTGGTGCATGCTTATAATGTTTCGAAGTCAAGCCACTTGCAGAAGCTGGAGTAGGACAAAATTGGGGCATCTTTCAGAAAGCTCAATATTATATAGTAGCAATACAAATGTGAGATGCTCTGTTTCTGAGCTGGTAACCCACATAACATTTAAAAAACAAGTGTCTAAAGAAATTCCTGAGCACTCTGTTGTAGAAGGGTTATAAGACTGCACCGTTAAGGAGGTAACTGAGTAGCAGTGTTACCTGTTTCTGTTTGCTTATTTATAAAGGACACTGCAACAGACGTGGGTTTCCACATGGATTGGTTTGGCACAAGAAAAGAGCAGATTGTTTGGTTTGGCTTGCACTTGTTTCTCTGTCCTAGAAGGGTTAAAGCGACTGAGGAGCTTTCTGACATTCCCTCTCTGTACTGCTAATGCGCTTTGCTTTCATCTGGTCCATACAGTGTTTTACAGGCTTTTTCACCAAAACACGGGGGGAAAAAGTATTTTCCCTTTCCCTGGCAGCCTGCTACTGTCAGGAATTGTGTGTGTTTAGGACAGCAGTGGGGTTTTCAGCATAGGTTAGAGTTCGTGCTTGAGTGCGTGCTCAAGTGCTGATTTAAGTAGGTTCAGAATCGAGTACTCCTAGAAGTGCTTCAGTGGAAGTTGCGATGTTCACGTATGTAGTACAAACTGCCGTTACTTCACTCGTTCTCGTACACAAAGTGTAACTTTTGAAAGCTCATAGTTAAGTTGGTTCTTATTAGATGCTAGCATCTTCCTGCCAGATTTTGACTTTCCACTCCCATGAGTCTAAGTGTTGACACTAGAGAAAATCATTGCATGAATTTGCATGTCCTTTTAGGAGAAAAAAAAATAAAAATCTTTATCTTCTCTATTCCCATTGGCTTATAGGAAAACAAAACGGTACAAAATGTTATCCTTAAATCAGGATAGAGAGTTGAAATTTGAAGGAGGACAGCTTGAAAGCTTTGAGTGACTATCAGACAAGACCTTGTCGTAGAAAAGCTTGTAACTGTAATAGTAGTGTGAAGTGTGGCACTCTCAAACTACAGAATTAAAATGCACATATTAGAAGTTCCAGTCGAGGGGGCAAGACTGTATTGTATTTATAAGAGTCATCTTATATCCTATGCACTGAAAATCACCAGTGCATCCTTTGGGTCTCATGTAAATAAATAGAGGATTTTAGCCTTTGGGTCTTTGAATGTAGCATCTTTCTTATTCACTTACTATATGACAATGACAATAATGCAGATGTGCTTTTAAATATAATCCCAAATGTAGCAGGATCTTGCTTTCAGAGCTGACTTCAAGATCTTAACAGCTGTTGGATGGCATATATAATTTGCAAGCGGTGCATGTGGTATCTCTGTGGATTGTCTCAACCAACCTGATTGCCCCGGCTGGTTTTCCTGCCATTTAATGCGGGTGCCATATCAGTACCTGTGTTGGAAGAAGTCTCTTTGTCTGCCCTTAATGCCAGATGAAAAGAGAGGGAAGGGGAAAAGGCAGACCTTGCTGGAAACTGAGCACTACCAAATGCACTCTGAAGCGGAGTGGCTCTCTTGTTTCCTGTCACCGCTGCAAAGACGTCTTTGAAATAGGGAGATGTGATTACCTTTCATGGGACAGCCGCATCATAACTTCTTTTGAATTCCCAGGTAGCGTACAAACTTGTTTTCTGTTGATGTAATGCTTCTATTTCTCATTTCAGCTATGAAGCCGTACGCTCCAGCTTTCATTCTCCTGTGGAGTGCTGTCGGGATAGCGAGGGCTGCCAAAATCGTTGTTGTGCCGCCAATTATGTTTGAAAGCCATCTTTATATTTTCAAGACTCTGGCCTCAGCCTTGCATGACCAAGGTCACCAGACAGTGTTTCTCCTCTCTGAGGGCAGAGAGATTCCTCCATCTAATCACTATAGACTTCAGCGCTACCCAGGGATCTTTAACAGCACCACCTCAGATGATTTTCTCCAGTGCAAGATGAGGAGTATCTTCTCGGGGAGACTGACAGCCCTCGAACTGTTCGATATCCTGGACCACTATTCCAAGAACTGCGACATGATCGTTGGCAACCAAAACCTCATGCGTGCCCTGAAACAGGAAAAATTTGACCTGCTCCTGGTAGATCCCAATGAGATGTGTGGATTTGTTATAGCTCATCTTTTAGGGGTTAAATATGCTGTCTTTTCCACTGGCCTCTGGTATCCAGCAGAAGTAGGTGCTCCAGCTCCCCTGTCTTACGTTCCAGAATTTAACTCGCTGCTCACAGATCACATGAACCTATTTGAGAGGATTAAAAATACTGTTGTTTATCTTATTTCAAGATTTGGAGTCAGTTTTTTGGTTCTGCCAAAATATGAAAGGATAATGCAGAAATACAAGGTTCTGCCAGAACGGTCCATGTATGACTTGGTTCATGGATCCAGCCTGTGGATGCTTTGTACTGATGTAGCGCTGGAGTTTCCAAGACCTACGCTACCCAATGTTGTTTATGTGGGAGGAATCCTAACCAAACCGGCCAGCCCTCTGCCAGAAGTAAGGTTTGCTGAGCTTTACAGTAATTTCTGTGGTATCTGGTTGACCTTGTGTGATTAGTGGTAGGTTTTAAGCAGTGAATTTCAAATGGGATCTAGCATCTTTTGTTGTTGCTTGGTGAAATACACCTTTGTGGTTGCTCAAAGTAGCTTGGGGTGGTGGTGGGGGGAACTGTCAGACACAAACTCATCAAAATGAGTCTTTTGTGGTTGCGGGAAGTATTTTGCTTTTGACTAAGGTGCTTAATGGTACAGTAGAGGAAAAAACAGTGCACGCTATCTTGGAAATTACATCTGTAGCTTCTAACCAGGTCTGGGTTAAATTGGGAAGGAGGGAGAATAGATGAATACTGCTTACACTTAAAGAAGCCCGCTGATAGGTTATACTACCTAATTTCATGGTATTAGTGTTTCTATGGAGAGTTTGCTTCCCTTGGTTTGATGGTAAAAACGTCTTTAGAACTGGGTTTATATAAGCATAAAGGAACTGTGTATAGGCCAAGAAATGGAACTGATGTGAGTTGACATAAATGGCACCACTACTGTACTCAGATATGAATTTTTACTGTACACTTACTGGCCATCAGGTACTGAACTTCAGACTGAAATAGTGATAGTGACTGGACTGGTTCCAGAAATCCTGGCTGCACAGATTAATAATTAAGTTTGATTACTTCAGTGTACCATGTGATCTTTGACATCTGATACCCAAGAATGCCTCTGTTTAGCAACATAATGATGAGTGACAGGCAGAACAAAATTTCACAGAAAACCATGTCATTTATGCTTCCATTCGTGTATACATAAACAAATAGATCTTGAATTGGAGATGATTATTAATGGACACTTCTGTCTGGGTGATAAATAGGTAGGTACACCTGCAGTCTTCAACAATTTGCTTCTAAAAATGTCTTGTTCAGCTTTTGCTTATTGCTGCCAGGCCCACTTTTCATCTGTTTTAGCCTGAAAATTGTGGAAGGCTGGGTGGGGTTTTGTTGGTTTTTTTTTGTTTGGTTTGGTTTGGTGTGGTTTTTTTTTTTATTATTTGCAGTGTTGGTAGTGTCTTGACTTAGCAGTACCTTTTTTCACCAACTCAGAAAACATCAGACAGTTCCCTGATTTGGGCTGCTGATGTGGAGCACTGAGGCAATTCCCTCATCTTTTTTTCCTCCCCTGTTCAACTCTAAATGCATCTGAGCCGAATGAGAGCAGGCACGTGCACCGCACTCTGAACACTCTAGTGGTTATATCCCAACATACACTCTTGTCTGTTCTCCAGGGTGCCATCAGAGATGACCATATCAGTGCTGTTTCTAACTGGTTCTTCCTGAGTGTACATTGATGTGTTTGTGTTTAGAAAGTGTCAGACTGTGCAGACATCCCCAGAAAGCAGTCTAGAGGTAGCCCTGTGCTAGCTAAACAAAGTTCAGCCCTATTCTCTGAAGGAAAACCTTGCCGGCTGGGTTGAGTTTCAGCTCTTCATTTTCCAAACTGATATTTTCTTGTTCTATGAGAAGAAAAATGTCTTTGTTGCATGATAAATTTGGGCACTACATTAACATTGTCTACTTTTTGTCTCAGTAGATTGGTCTTTAGGGTAAAAAAATTAACTGTCCTCAAAAGTGGATACTTTCTTTGCTATAAAACGGAGCAGAAGAAAATGGAAGGAGCAGTTTCCTTTCAATGTTTTGCTATAGGGATGTGTGTGTGTACAGATATAGAGATTTATGTATTTGTACACACATATAAGTATGTATCTGGAGCCTTTTGAGAATATATTTCTATGTACTTTTGAAATTTACTCTGGAACCACAGTTGTTAATCTGTTGCAATATCTTATGATGCAAAAAGGTGGAACAGAAAGTAAAACATTTAATACAACCAGACTGACAGTGACCTTGAAATAGACCTGTGGGTAGAGTACATGCTGGCAAATACTTATTACAGTGGTGGGGGAAAAAAAAAACCCCTGTAATTATTTGTGAACTGAGATATTATTTACCTTCTCTTCAGTTTTATTGGGCAATTCATTCTTACAATGTTCTAAGCACAGGATTTGATTGAAAGCGAGAGAGACAAAGTGAGTGTGTTCATCTTTTATCATATAATTTGTCCATGCCTAAACTGTTATGCATAATCCACTGTGGTATGTATTGTAGGTAAATTATTGGGTAATCAGTTTGTTTTTACTGAACAGTTAGATAAATTCATAACTGTCGCTTTATTCTGGCAGATTAAAATTGGATAGCTAGTGCTGCCACTGTTTTCAGCTATTGCTGCATCTCAAAGGCAGGAGCCTTCGCTAGTTTATTTTCTGCAGCTTTTAGCCTGGTGCATTAAGGTAAGCCAGAAGCAGAGCTGGTTCACGTTTCTGTGCTGGGCTGGAAATGGTGATGCTTCAGGAACTGTCTCATAAATGAAAGCGATGTTCCTGGCCAGAGGTGATCATCAAAAGAGAGGGGTGTGTTGCTGGACATAATGGCTTCAGCAGGCAAATTTAAGCTGCTATTGGCAGCCATTCAGGTATCTTACATTCTCCAAAACTGCTTATAAGTAGCCTATCCACATTTTCTGGTAGAGTAGTGTTAGGAAAAAGATCTGTGTTGTTTTTTCGAGTCAAAAATACCTGCTCAAAACAAAATACCAAGCACCTCAGCAGTGGCACTGCTGCCTTGTTGGCAGAGAGAGTGTTATTTTCTTTTGGGGGGGGGGGGGGGAAAAAGGAAAAAAGTGGTTTGTTTAACCAAATCAGATTTCCTACACATAACTGAAAAGCTCTAGTTTTCTGCTAATACGTAACGTCTTAAAAAGAAAAGGCAGAGAGTAGCAATTAATCAAAGAGGAGACAAAGGTCAAGGCCTTTTAAACTGTTACGGGATGGCTGTTGTTTAATTCCAGGGCATGTGGTAGCTCTGTTTTGTGGTTGCTCAGAGTCTGCACCTGTGTTTTCCTTGAGCTTTCTTGAAAGAAAAGTTAGAAAAACACGGCTTTAAAGGCAGCGTGTATCAGGGGGTGCTGAATGTCCGTGTCCTGTAACAGCAAGTGTGTGAGGGGAAAACCAAACCTGACTCTTGCTTTGCTCTGTCCCTGTCCCATCTGCATGAATATTTTGGTTCAGGGCAGTGGAAGGGTTCTGTAAATCCCCCAGTCATCCCCACGGACTGCCTGCTGCACGTTCCCTTTGTAGAGTATTTTGGCGCAGGTAAACTAGATTTATTTGGGAGGATGTTAAGCTGGAAGCTTTATTTCACCCGCGAACCAAAGGCTTGCTGGTGTCTGATGGGAGACACGAGGGTCTCGGTAGCAGGGTTTGGCCTTTCGGGCGGCGTGACGCGGTTTGCGGGGAGATGCTCAGATCAGGGACCACAGCAGATGCAGCCAGAGCCAAGCTGCCGGAGCGTGCCAAGCCTCTGCCGCGCTGGCACGGCGCGCAGGTCGGGGCAGGCTGCAGTCCCTGCAGGGACCGTATGTTAGCCGCGCATCTCACACCTCACCAGTGAAGGGAACTGGTCTTACTGGGCTATATCCTTACTGCTCCGCACAGGCCGGCGGTAGCGGATCGCGCCGTCAGCCGGCGCGGCGGGCAGGATTTTTAATTGCTGCTGGGCTCTGTAGCCGTGACGGCCGCAGCGTGTGCACCCAGCTGCGGTATGCTAAACCCCAAACCGTGTCTTCGGCTTGCAGCCTGCCCGGATGCCTCGGGGGAAACCTTCGCTGATCCTCCTTTTTTTTTTTTTTTTTTTTTTTTTTTTTTTTTTTTGCCTCTCCCTCTAAGGCAGCGCCCCGACGTGGGTCCGCGCTTGGCGCAGCTCTCTTTTCGGGAGGGCTGATGCTTGCTTTGCTAAGCTGGGTGTAGGCGATAGGCGCCGCGGGGTTAGTCATCTTCTCTGGTAGCTAGCGTGCGGTTTTCACGGGTTAAAGTGTGTGGGTTTAGAAGGTGCTTCTTGCGTAATGTGCTCTGAAAAGGCAAGGAGGTGGTTAATGTGGCTGCACCCATTACCGAGTAAAATCTTACATGCATGTGGGAAAGAGTCCAGGGTTTGTATGGTTAACTCCAAAAAGAGTGTATTTTGAATTGCATAGAGGACAGCACGAGCACAATTAGCCTTAAAAGAACAAACACTAGGGACAGACCAAGTATCAAGTCCTTAAGGTCATTGCTGACTTAAACTATTAAGTGTATGGTGTTAGCTGGCGGTGTTTTACAGATAACTGGCAGTGGCCGTTAGAAAAGTGAAAGGCTCCTCTGCCTCTTTCTTATTACACTTTTCCAGAGGGATCTTGCAAAGCCGAATGAAGCTGGCTTTTTAAGGTAACACACATTTTAAGAAACAACGGGGGAACCTCCGCTATGGCATTTAAATCTTGTGACTAGGTTGATACATAGCTAGGCATTAATCAGCCTGATAAGATAAGTCCTTGAATCAGGGTAGAAACCCGACGGGTGCTACAAGCAGCCGCCTTGGGAAATACCTGGTGCCTGGTGAGGAGGGGACAGAGCACCCTGGAAATGAGCAGGTGTCCTCGCTGCGGGAAAAGCAGCCGAACAGTCCCAAAAGGACTCCTTTCCATCAGGTAATTAATGGTGTAGGTGCATTTGGACGTAGGTTGGATCCTGCAGCTTGGATACAGTTGTACTCGAGACAATCTGTGTCAGTGTTTACAAAAAAAAAAACCAATCACAAACTAAAATGATGCATACCCTGCAGTTTTTAAGTTGAGCTGCTGCTTTTTCACATCAGCACAGCTTTTAAAGTTTTATAACTACCTCTGTGTAACAGTATGGTTTTTTTTAATGCTGATCTTGTGGCGGTACTTTGGACTGAATGCCATTTGTCATTGATAGGAAAAGAGAAACAAATGACAGTTGTTGGTGGTTTTTTTTTTTTAATTCTTCCGTACCTGAGTAAACTAAATTCGTGCTACAAAGGAGGGTGTTCATGTTTCAGAATTAGAAGCTGTCCTTTCAGCCATTGCTGTCAACAAATAGTAATTATGGTA